TGTTATGGTTGGGTCACAACATGAGGAACTGTATTTAAAGGGCCAGAAGGTGGAGAACCACTGCAAAGGCAGAAAACAAGCAGGAAGAAGGGAAGCAAACATACGGACCCCGGAGCTGAGAGCGTGTAATTGCTGTTCCCAGGGGTGCGACTGACATCCCCAGGTGTCTGTATTACAGATGCACCTGCCCAGGGGCGGGGTGGCACAAGCCACCTTTACATTTTCATAAAAGCCAGTCTGCACCGCGGTTCCCTCTTACAAAAGAAGGAGCATTTCCAGGTGGCACGGGAGCAGGTAGAGAGAGTTTAGAAATTAAGTAGATGTGCGTCTGATTTCTGCCTCCAGCTGCTCCTTTTAGAGACCGTGGCTTCCTTCATCTGCGTGAGCCTCAACTTTCCTACCAGTGAAATGGAACAATAGCCCCTGTGACGTGAAGTGACTCTTGTAACTCAGGGTGGGTCTGGTTTGTCGGATGAAAACGCATGATCGTCCCAAAGAATAACAAACATACCTTTTCTGAGGAAAGAGGGCACAGCACAGAGGCGTGGCAAATACCAAACTAAAAAAAAAAAAAAAAAAAGGCAAATCAGCGCACTGGAAATAGTGGACTTCTCAGTTCTTGGTCTAGTTTCCTTTCCCAACAGTCCCCTTCCTCTCTTTAGAGCCTCAAAACCCATGTTCCGTTTGTATCATGTTATTACACCAATGATTGCCAAAATAATTTTTAAAAAATCAGAGATAACAGGAGTTTAAGAAAGAATCATGCAGACAGTCCCACATGTTGTAAGCTTCCCTAAAGACAGTCCACTTCCAGCTCATTATCGGGACCATAAGTCCCAGGTGTTCCGGGATGTCCTCATTTTCTAAACTGGGTCCCACATCGCCTCCCTCGCCTCCCTCTCCATGTGCTGCACGCGTGTCTTTAAGAGAGAAATGAATGATCTCGAAGGGATTCTACTCACCAGAAGCCAACCAGTCCAACCTGAATGGGCGCACTCATCCACGGGAACCTCTGTGATGAGAAAGACATTATTTTGAAGACTTTCCATACAGGCTCTTGGCGACAATTTCTCCTGCCGACGGACTGGAAGGAGCCCCCGTTACAGGTCCAGGTGGACTGTGATTCGCGTAACGGGGGGACACTGCAACACGCGTGGTAGTCCTGACTTCCCGCGGCCCCCTGCCCCCGACCTGTCAGTAGACACACATGTGGAGGCCACGGCTTCTCATCCTCCCCTTGCACATGTGATCTCAGTGGTGCTTGGTGGGTCCAGGTCGCTGTTGTTACCATCCCCCTCCTGGCTGGTGGGCAGGCCGCTCCTCCCACGGGCTGCCCTAACACTGGCTCCATCCGGGCGAGCAGGCAGAGCCCGACCCGCTTCCCAAAGCACGCGGTAACGTTCATCAACCACTGAGGCCAGGGCCTGGGACGGAGCGGAAGCCCCACAAGCACCCCCTCACCCCGCGTCTCCCCTCTCTCGGCCTTCTCTGTCAGTGTGGTTAAAGCTGTGGCTGGCGTCAGACATCCTGCCTGTCGCTTTTTAAAAATGGAAACGAGTGAGCGGGTCAGTCTTTTGGAGAATAAGTACTGTTAGATTTTTAGTTTTCAAAAGTGGTATCAAAATGCACACTATAAAGAGCGACGAGGAGATGGTCCCGTAACTCAGGCCACAGAAATAGCTGCGACCAGTGGTGAACCGGTTGTCATGACATCGGCCAACGGAGTTAAGAGGCAACACTAGTGGTTAGAGACGGTGACCCCAGAGCTCGTGTGCGAGGCGTACCCTGGTCCCCGAAGACTCCTCCGGTGAAAGAGGACGTCGCACAGGCTAACGTGAGGGAGGGAGGAGTGGACTAGAGAGGAAGGAGAGAGGCGGTCAAGAGGAGACAGATCCCAGAACCCCCCTCAGGGACAGCCAGGGAAGGAAGGGCTGGATCTCGCGGTCTCACGCGTTGACGTGGGACGTGCGACTGAGTGTCACGGTGGCTCTCTAGTTCCCTTCATTCCTTGGAGCGTCCCTAGGAGAAGCCCACAGTCCCTGGTCCCCACCAGGGCCCTTCCCTCACACGGGGTGGTGTGTCCAGGTGACAACCTGGGTGTGTCAGTCAAATGAGGGCAGCGCACAGATTAACGAACTGTCATGCTCCCCAAAGAAAAATAAACCGGGCAGTTCACTGTTCCGTGACGCTGCCCCCAATCCATTTTCCGTTTCTGACAGTGAGAGGCGTGGCAGCAGCTTTCCTTCCTGGGAGCTTTGTCCAATATCTGAGATTGGAAACAGAATGTTCCTGGAACCACCTTTCATCTACATAAGTGCCCGAGGGCCACTGGCCTTCAAATGCTTGTTCGGGGTTCAGGGAGGAAGGGTCGGTGCGTGTGAGGGCTGGATGGGAAACGGAAGGACTCACCTTCAGGAAGGCCTTCTTCTCCAGGGTGTTCATGATGAACGGGGGGATGGCTGCAAGGAAAGGAGACCCGCGGAACGCGTTAGCTCGTGTCTGCTTCAGCTCACATTGCCCCCAACAAGTTGACAAAAGGCTTATGTCACTTTTAAGCCTTTTCCCACGGCAGAGTGAAGCCATCTGCAACAATTCTTTCAAATACTTTAGGATTGGGGGAAAATCAGTGTTCCCGTTTTCTGGAATTTTGAAACATAACGTAATGCTCTTTTCCAGCCAGAAAGCTCTACAATCGCGAGGAGAACTTTACATTTAACTTTAAGTATGAGCAGTGCCAACATCAGGAATGTCTGCCTCCTGTACCCATAAAACAAACGCACCCGACGGGGGTGGGGCAGCCCTACGGAGCAGAGAATAAAGACTCCGCCTTGAGCCGGGCACACGGCCTGTGGGTGGCCCTGGGAGATACCCAACTCTGAGCCTCAGCTTCAGGTGTTCTCACCTTGAAGGAGCCGACAGCAGGGGAGGGACGTGTTTGGTTCACTGACGCACAAGCTCTTGTTCAATCTGTGTTTGTGGAGTGGATGGGGGATGGGTGGGGGGATGGGTGGGTGACAGTCATACTCACCCATGCCGGGCGCGGCCATGAGAATCCTGGAGACGACCACTTGTGCGATGGCTTGTTGTGCAGCCTGTGCCGACTCA